GAGACTGCGACCATACCAGAGGCCACAACATCTTAGTCTTCATATATTCAATAATATCGTATTGTTTTGACTCTTAAGCAAAGTTTACCTTATATATCCTTAACTTTTTTTAAATAATGTTTATGTTTCGATCGACTTATTTTTTTGCAACTCCCTTTTTTTCCTACATCATCGGTTTTTTTCTTCTATGCGTCTAGAATATTTGCTTGTTTCTTTTTATTTTCTTCTGTATCCATACAATTATCCTCTAGATGGTTGGATTAAATTTTACATTGCTGCTGAAATGAAATCTTGGCGATCTAGTACACTTGTTTTACTGCAGGCCATCTGTTCGCACTTGCACAGTAGTTGGACATCATATCAAAGATGAGCTGTATGCATATATGTGTATATATAATAGAAGTGAGACGATCTTAAGGGTTTTTAGTTATTTTATCTGTTACCTCATATATACTTAAACAAATGACTAATGTCGTGCTGAAGATTTCTATTCTACATATATTCTACTTATTTTTGAGTACATTTAAACAAATCATTGTTAAATGTTTCACATCTTAGTTTTGACAAGTTCTTCTAAATATAATTCTAAGGATTTTTACTATCTGAAGAAGTCGCCTTTCTCTTAGTATGATTTATTAATTTATCCAGTATCGTTGTACAAGCAACATCCATTTACTCAATAGATATATATTCTACCTATCTTTACTTCTCGGCATTGTTCAACTCATTAGTTTCATTAAATCTCAAAAGTTTATTTATAGATGGGCCTTCTTTGCCACTTTCTGCATTGCAGCACAGATCTCATCGAGGGATGTCCTTACTTTTGATTGATTACAGCATGAGCTATATTTTTTTTATAGTTTTAACATGAAATAAACAAGCTTCTTCATTATGATGTACTTAAGAATTTCGTCGACTTCATTGTCCGCATATAACTCTAGCCTTATGTAAACCATACTCAGATGCCAAATATAAGTTAATTATTTTATCGAAAATCTTGATTTACATTTGTTTCTCCCAATTATTCATCATTACTTTGGCGAACTTCCTTCCTTCTTGCCTTTATATATCTTATTTTAAATGATGGTCTGTATGTCTTTGACAGGCTCTTTGAGGCTGTTGAATTTATTTTACGATCTAACTTATGGATTTCCAGCAAGCGAATTATCTAATATTTTCGAAGGTATGAAGACCAAAATGGTGTGGCCTTTTGTGTGGTCGCAGTCTCTTTTCGTTGTATAAAAATTGTTTGACCTTGTTTTGGCAACTTGGTCATATTGGTAGGAAGACTTAGAGAAAGCACCTTGTCCGGAGTCCATCGTATGCATGATCATTTCCAAAGTCGGACCGTGGACATGGAACATTCCCAGACCTTTCACCGGCATAGTAGTCAGCATCCTCAGTGAGTTTTACCAGTCGTAGCACCATATTACAAATCGTCAAAGAGACAAGTAAAACGTGTGCTAAGCAGTTGTGGTATCTCCACTTCTGCCCTGAGCTATTCACATTTCCTATATCCTCCTAGCATGCCTTCTTTGTCACAATTTTTTACCGTGCTTATTTTTAATGTAGTGTGGTGTGCTCCTTCATTGATGAAAATCCTTCACACTCCACGCTGTCGTTATCATCTCCTTTACCCTTGTTCTGGGAATGTTGACTAGAGTCTGTTATATTGTTACATAGTCCTTTACTGAGTCCTATCAGTGTCTCTCTCTTGCCCCGTAGAATCCGTCTGCTATCTGCCTGGTACACGTATTTCATTCCACCCCTGTCTACCCATCTGTGCTACTCAAGACGTTATTCGCCTACCCCTCTGAGTAAGTCTTATGGTCATGCCTTTGCCAAATGGACCAGGTGTCTTATAAAACCTACTGTCAGCCCACTAGCTCCCATCGCCGCCGCGTCTTTCTTGTTTCTATCCCTAATATCATGTCTATGACTTCCCATGCTCTAGTCTCTTGCGTGCCAACCCACAAAAATTGTGGTACGGCTTGCGTTAATTAGGTTTAATGATGCCTGCCAAATCCACAAACGTTATGGTTCATCATTGAACCTAATCAAAGCAAGCAGTATCACAACATTTGCGGGTTGGCACACAAGAGACTTGGGCATGGGAAGTCATAGACATGGTATTAGGGATAGAAACAAGATAGACGCGGCGGCAATGAGAGCTAGTGGGCTGACAGTAGGTTTTATAAGACACCTGGTCCATTTGGCAAAGGCGTGACCATAAGACTTACTCAGAGGGGTAGGCGAATAACGTCTTGAGTAGCACAGATGGGCAGACAGGGATCGAGTGAAATACGTGTACCAGGTAGATAGCAGACGGATTTTACGGGGCAAGAGGGAGACACTGATAGGACCCAGTAAAGGACTACATAACAATATAACCGACTCTGGTCAATATTCCCAGAACAAGGGTAAAGGAGATGATAACGACAGCATGGAGTGTGAAGTATTTTCATGAATGAAGGAGCACACCACACTACATTAAAAATAAGCACGGTAAAAAATTGTGACAAAGAAGGCATGCTAGGAGGATATAGGAAATGTGAATAGCCCAGGGCACAAGGGGAGATACAACAACTGTTTAGCACACGTTTCACTTGTCTCTTTGACGATTTGTAATATGGTGCTACGACTGGTAAAACTTACTGAGGATGCTGACTACTATGCCGGCGAAGGGTCTGAGAATGTACCATGTCCACGGTCTAGGTTATTAATTCGAGGCTCAAGCCTCTGAGTAAGTCTCCTGGTCACACCTTTGCCACATGGACCACGTCTCTTATACAAACTACTGTCAGCCCACTAGCTCCCATCGCCGCCGCGTCTATCCTGTTTCTATCTCTAGTACCAAGTTTATGACCTCCCATGCCCTAGTCTCTTGTGTGCCAACCCACAAATGTGGTACTGCCTGCTTTGGTTAGGTTAAATGTTGAACCACAACGCTTTTGGGTTGGCGCACAAGAGACTAGGGCATGGGAAGTCATAGACTTGGTATTAGAGATAGACCCGGCGGCGATGGGAGCTAGTGGGCTGACGGTAGTTATTATAGGAGACGTGGTCCATGTGGCAAAGGCGTGGCCATGAGACTTACTCCGAGGCTTGAGCTTGAATTAGTCACCTAGACGAAGGGTAGGGCCAATAACATCTCGAGTGAAATATGTGAACCAGGGGGGATCTTACGGGGCAAGATCCGGGACTGCGTAACAATATGGCAGACTGATCAACATTCCTAGCACAAGGATGAAGGGAAGCATGCTAAATTGATTAGCTAGTTAATTGATTATTATCACTGAACAACAGTGTATGCTAAGTGGAACCTGCAGATTTCGAGTTCCTTGCTATTATTAAAGTACCGTTGACTGCTATCGGAGTTCTTGTGCCCAAGGTTTCTCTTCACTCACATTGACATGTATTTTAATCAATGTCTCTCTTAGTATTCTTCTATTAAACTTCATTTCCCATAAAGGTTATTTGACCTTGTTTTCGCAACCTCTATACAATGCAAGGAGACTGCGACAACACAAAAGGCCACTCCATCTTGGTCTTCATACTTTCGATTCACTTACCATATTTTTAACTTCTTTATATTGATTTTGAGCTAATTTACTTGTTTCGGACTAGCACTTTTTTCCATAACAGGTGATACTAACTCAAGCCGTCCAATGATCTTCAACTTTTGTGTCACAGATAGGAACCTGTCAGGTGCTGCTACTTCGTATGGCAATAGTTACGCTGCGGCTGCCGGTGGCGTTGGCACAAATCTAGGCTTATTTACATTTGCAAATTTGGCTGGCCGAAGTGCACCATCATCGAGTATTCATTGGCTTGGAAATAGCAGCATTAACTCCAGTGCCGAGGGCAACACAGAACATCCTAGTCTGTGGCGTCGCCGCGCATCTTCAGACGCAATGACTTTTCATTCTGGACTTACTGTAACTTCTTCATCGCTCTTTCCATCTTCCTTGCAATCCTCATCCTCTGTCTCAATACCGCATAATGCAAAAACGACGCCAACAGTCACAACCGCAGCATCCGCTGTGGTGGATGCACCTAGGCATACTTCTTCGCTTCACACAGCCCCTCATGTCCTACGCCTATTTTATTCACGAGATGGGCATCTCTTATTTGTTCTTTCCACCGATTCGCCTTCGTGTAAATGCGGCTCATTTACAGTCGCTGGTTCAGCTGGTCTAAGTGGCTCATCCATGCATCATTCAGTAAGTAAGCTATGATTCGCTCTAGGATTAAGGGCGAACTCATATTAATAAAATAATAAAATAATAGGTGATAATAAATAACAATAATAATAACTAAATAATAAAATTATATTTATGAGTTGGAAGCTTATTTATTATGTCTATAACTTTACACCAAATGGATTATATTTATCCATTTTTAACCTTAACATTACCACCAGCATGGCAACTCATCTCGATATGTTATCCTATTAACATATTTTATCAATTTTGGATGCCTTTCATCTCAGTGTACCAAGCTAGTGGAAGATATTCCTATATTGGTCTCACCAGAAGCCTTGAAGTTCTGATTGTAGATTTGTGCGCACTGCTCCTGGATACCGATAAGAAGTTTCTGTTAATTTATTAAATTAGTGGTGAGGTAGGCGATAGAGATCTAGGATATGTTTTTAATTTCTGATCTGGTGTCTGTGTACACTAACTTATGCTCTAGGACTAGCACGAGATCGACACCTGTGGATAAGGTGTCGATAATTTTATTGACAAGCTCAATTTCGAATAGAAGTTTTTTGACCCTGGTTCGATCATTTGGCCAATTATCTGCTAAACAATTCTGGTATCTCTCTTGTCCTGGGCTATTTACAGATTATATATCCTCGTATCACTAATTGACTATTTAAATGTGGTATGGTATGACCTTTTTAGCGGATTTCATAGGAACTCTCCAAACCCCACGTTGGCTTTTTCATCACCTTACCCCGTAATCCTCTTCCCATAGGTCTTATCAAAGTCTCCCTCTTGCCTTGTAGGATCAGACTCCTGCCTTCCTAATTCAGGTATTCCATTCGACCTCTGCCACCCTAGCTGTACTACTCGAAGCGTTATTTCCCACATTGTCGCAAGCATTTGAGGGCACGCATACTCCCGTCTAGCTGAGTAGCGTATCAGGATTCTTAGGCTGGATGTGAGACTAACATGAGGCTAAAGAGCCCGAGTAATTCTCATAGTCAAGCCTTTGCTCCATGGACCATGTCTATGATAAAATACGTCTACTTTTAGCCAACTAACTCTAGTCTCCACCGAATCTATCGTTTTTCTATCCATTGTATCAAGTCTATGACTTCCTATACCCTAATCTCTTGTTCGCCAACTCACAAATGTTGTGGTTCTACTTGTTTTGATTAGGTTCAATGTAGAACTACAACATTTGTTGATTGGCTAGTGCCGAATATCTTCCTATATTACTGTCCCTTACATCCGTACAAATCGTACTATTCTAATTTTTAGTACGACTCAATTCTAGTAGACCAAATTTGTATAATTAAGTAATGATTTTAATTTGTCGAATGAACCCTATTCATGAAAGGAAGGAATTTTGACTTGTTACTTTCGTACTCGCTTATATGGGGCTCATAATTAATTTCTATTTGAGATATACGGATTCAACCATTTAGCTGTCAGCACTTTATTTTAGACCGACACTCACAAAAATGAATTAGATTAATTCAGTATAGAAAAATCAAGTGCTTATTAAATAATATTTACTACATAAATAATGTTGAATTAACCTATAATTCTGTTTAATTTCCTCTTCAAATGCTTAATTCAAACTTGAAGTTTACACCGTCATATTTTTTGGTTTTTGTTGTGTCCTTAGATAATTTTTTCATCTTACTAACGAGAAGCATGTTTTTTCGCCAACAAGTTTTGGGCAGAAAAATGCAACCGTTACAAGATCCTAAATATGTGGGTAAAATTTAGGCTTTGAGTAAGATGAAGTGAAGCTGTAAGACCTCCTTATAATTTATTGATTTAAAAACTTTTTAGATAATATGAATCACTACGCCCTCTTATCCAGATAATGTCAGTTTTAGAGACTCAGTAAATCTTGAGTACGAGTTTCGGTCACCATAGCTCGAATGTGGCAAATGACTGATGGTTGCATTTTCCCGCAATGATATGAATGGGCTTCACGTTTCTGCTCAATTCCACCTAGGCGGTTGGAAGATATTTGTAAATTGGTCTTACAGGAAACTTGGAGTTGACTGAATTTATTTAGAGTAGCCTTTGGCGCTCCATGTTGCGAGGATTTTGCACAAATTTACTCCCAATTCCAAGGCCATCCCTACTCAGCTTCCAGGGAGGATAATTACTTATCCCACTATAAAAGTG